AAAAAANAAAAAACAAAACGAAAATAGAAGAATGATAGATGAAAAGTTCATTTCAATCAGCAATAGGATATATAAGTGTAACTTATCAACTACTTCAATAAAAACATTCATAGATTGATGCTTTTTTTTCTATTGACCTTTTCCTGTATTTTCATTGAAGGTATGATGAATAGTACTTTGAAGGTTACCATTAATGAATAATTAATTTTTGAAATTAAAAAGTTCCAGATGTTTGAAAAATTCCTTAAAAAATTATTCATCAATGTTAAATTATGATTGGCTATTTTTTATCCATAAAATTACTAAAAAATTCTTAATTAATATAAATGAAAAGTATCACAAAAGTAAAAGATAGCATTTATCGGTAAAGAAAAAAAAAAAGAAATTGGAATATTTTATTAAAGGAATATCTTTGGGATATGCAATTGTATGTGCAATATTTAGGATATTGTAATGATCTTTCAATCTGATAACTGAGCTTTTATATTCAATGGTTAAGATGTTGTAAACAAATGGACTATATGCCAAGGAGGGATTGTAATTGAAATGTTGTAAACAAACTCACACTATGCAAATGGAGGAGTCTAATTGAAATGCTGTAAACAATCTCTCTATTATCGATTCATACAAATCATTCGATTAATAATGTCCTTCGATTTCGATTCAATTTAATATGACCATTTATATCCTATCATCAAATCATTACTAAACTATTTCCTTACAATAAAATCTATTAATCATTTATATCCCTGATATTCGCAGATAATAATTGTTTTAATAACATATATGAAGAATAAATTCTCCCTTAATCAATAAAATATTTATCACAACTATTTATCAGTGCCAATCGTCAAAAAAAATTTCCACAACATCGTTGACATTTTGATTGATGTAGCAGCATTTCGTTACTTGTCAAGAATATAGCAAAGAATTTCACCAATAGGAGAGAGAAGAAGTATTAGTCTTATCACTTACTTTATCATAATATGGGACCAGTAATCGTTGAATAGTAAATATAAAGGCAAAATAGGATGTAACTGTAAAATTTGAAGTAAGCAAGGGAAGCAAGATAAACAGTTGGTTGATAAGATTAGTGAGTTGCATCCAGTTGATGAATTAATCGGATTAGTTAAAAAGTGAACATTCTAAGTGATTCTTGAAAAATGATTTATTGGTTGTGTTTAACGTTTAGCCATACTATTTATTCAAGTAGAACTTAATCTGGTCTGGTTTGATCAATATCAAGAGCTAGGAAGAATCGAAAGATTTTGATTATCTCAAGATTTAATTTAATGTTCTTCGCTTTCTAAGTTGAAGCTAACGGTAAATATTGAAATACTTTTTTTTTTTTATTTTTTGTTTTTAAGAAGAAAAGTAGAAAAAAAAAAGGAAGACGAACAGGATAGAATAAAATGGCATAACAAAAATATTTATGAAAAAAGCTTAAAAAATGAATGGATATGATAGCTTTTCCCAAATATTTTCCCCATTGTTTTTTTTGATTTCATCAAAATTGTCAACTTGAAATCAATAATTTCAAATTCGAATTATCTTATCATATATCGAAATTTTTTAACTAAGCTTATGATGATGATTTTCTTTTGATTTTTTTTTTCTAACTAAAAAAAAAAAACATTTTTTGCCTATCGAATAAAGAATATTTGCATAATTTTACAATCACAAGAATCAATGCAAGGAAATATATGTTTCAATTACAATTATTGCTAAAATATAATATTTCAAAAATTCAAGCGATATTTTTAAAAATATTTGAAGGAAAGAATAAATGTATTTTCAAATCCTGAAAATCTCGAAAGAATGAATGAAGAAATATTTCGTTTTCGTACAAAAAAAAAAAAA